TTTAGGAAGAAGTCTGTTTACATGAAAACATAGTCCATAGCGTTATGGACAATCCTCGGCGTACATTTTTGTTGTGTAATATTTATTTTTGATTTTTATACTTATTTATTTATTACACTTTAATAAATGGAGATAGTTTAAATAGCAGTCGACCGTAGACAGGAAAAACAGAAATTTAATTAAACTAACTTTTACCCGCGACTTTGTCTGTATGATCAAGACGAGAAGAAGCTTATGTTTGAATTATTTGTTAAAGATTATATGAAATGGAGAAGGCATCCATCCATCCCATATTGTGTGTGTACCTATATCAAATTTCATAGCGATTGGTTAAGCCCATAAGGTGCTAGGGGTAACAATCAAACACACAAACTCACTTTTACATGTTTTTACATTATTCTATTAAGGATATGTATATGATAGTAAGCGTATTAGAAGAGAACAATGACTGGACCGTAACCGACTTATACATAGAACATTTTAAATTTTAGTTTTAATAAAAATTTTCACTCAGATGGTCAATTTTTTATGTAACTTAGAATGGCAAACAATCTGACAGCCCATTCAACAGAAAATGGTAACTGTCGCCTATAGACATGAAAAGCACCATGGACACAACAGAGTATATTGGGTTATGCCTCAGTACACTGTAAATTCACTTCCATATTGCATATCCCACCCTTCAAACCCGAACACAGCTATGCAAACAACTACTTTACAGTAGAAATACGAATGGTACAGAGGTACTCAAGCAAACGACTTTTGTATAAAGTCTCCTTCTGGTGATCTTTTTAACTTTCTATTCTAATTCACAAGGGCCAAGCCGCGGGATAAAGCTAGTATTAATAAACTGCCTACGTCTATGCCTGCCTAATCGTATTAGCATTCTGAGTAATGATATTTAAACGTATCTTTGTAAACGGACTCGAATGTATTTCCTTGAATTGGTCGGATTACAGAGAAAGGTAGTAATTTTATCTGCCTGTGACTTTGATCCTGTGATTTGTAGTTTTGAACCGATTTCAAAAGAAGGGGATTCTCTTCGGTTGTAGCATGCGGCTCATCTATGACCATGATCACCCACAACACCAATATATGTGTTTTGTTTCTCATGTTTGTTACCTCATAACTCCGTCAGTTACAAAGTGATTAGGAAATTTTTTTTATCTAAAAGCAAATATTTACAAATTGGTTGCGTGGAAATTTTATCAAAATCGGTTCAGTTGTTTAGTTTTTAAATCAAAGTAACTGGTTTTGTCACAATTGAAGTCGACTCTTTTATGGCAGTAAATTTTTAATTAAGCATTGTATTGCAATAGGATGCTATTATGATAGTACATCATTTATGATTTCTGACTACCTGTAATTTTATACCAGCCGCTATAGATATGTATAACACCATACTCATAGAATACACTGTGATGAACACGCTATATTGCGCACGGGTGGACCTTTCTACAACATTTTAAAAATGGTTATTGTGACATAACAATAATAGTTGGACATATAGTATCGCAAAGTTTTTTTGTAGTTATTGATATTTTCTTCAACATTTATATATATATATATATATATATATATATATATATATATATATATATATATATATATATATATATATATATACACACACACATATATATAGCATTTTTATACACCTTAAGTTACGTTACTAAAATTTTAGTAAGGATTACAAATTTTTTCTAAATTGAAATCGGCAAAGTAGTTTTTGAGTTTATTAATTACAAACATACATACACACAAAAATACAAATCTTTCCTCTTTATCTATATATATGTATATCCTGTGTCACCTATCGAAGTCGACCTCCAAGCGGTCATCTGGTGACTATAGTGGTTAATTCTTGATCAATTCAGTAGCATGGGCGATCTGACCTGCTTCCTTCCTCTCTTATCATCCTTCACTGGTGCCCCGCCGGTTTATACCGATAGCGCGGGTGGGGTTGCCATTCCATTATCACCCATTAAAAAAGCAACGGTACACGATCATAAAATTACGTGTACAATTTTACATTTAGTTATATTATATTAATGATAATGTAAAATGTAAATGTTTGTATTTGTTTACGTAGATCGCTATATGTATGTTTCATGAACGAATGTTGAGAAAGGTCATCACAGAATGATAATATTTGGAGTGATATTTTAATCAGGTTTTACATGTATGGAAGAGCATACCAGACATTACCAGAGGGAGACTTTGTACAAAAGTCTTGCGATTGCTTGGGTACCACTGTCCCATTCGTGTTTCTACCGTGAAGCAGTTGTGTTTGCAATGCTGTGTTTCGGTTTGGAGGGTGGGATATGACGTGAATTTACAGGGTGCAGAGGAATAACATCTGAGGCCTCAAGAATGGCAACGTATGGGGAGTATCATGGGCGAAATAGTATACTCTGTTATGTCCATAGTACTACTCATGTCTATAGGCGACGGTTACCACTTTCCATCAGGTGGGCCGTCAGCTTGTTTGCCATTCTAAGTTGTATAAAAAAAAGCATAGTCATATTTTATTAATGAGGATATATTTAGAAGATATATTAAATGATAATATTAGAAAACTGGTCCGGCTCGTAAGCTGTTACGATGACACAATCCGTATGGGAGTTGTATAATTAGAAATTTCAATATCACAGTCTGTCATACATGACATTGGATTCTATTGATTTAGACGTACGAATATAAAAAAAAAGTCATTGCTCAAACTAAAACTCATTTGCAGATGATTTACTTTAAAATATCGATGATAATTTTTGAAGAAATGATAATATAGTATTATCATAATTTAGTCTACATACATAATATAATATTACAGAATATTTTTTTTATGCAACTTAGAATGGCAAACAAGCTGACAGCCCACCTGATGGAAAGTGATAACCGTCTCCTATAGATATGAGCAGTACCATGGACATAACAGAGTATACTGTTTCGCCCATGATACCACCCCATAAGTTACCATTCCTAAGGTCTCAGGTGTTATTCCTGTGTACCCTGTAAATTCACTGCCATATCTCACTCTTCAAATCGAAACACAGTAATGCAAACACAACTGCTTCGCGGTAGAAACACGAATGAGACAAAGGTGCCCAAGCAAACGACTTTTGTACAAAGTTGTTTGCTTGTGTAAAAGCAGTACCATGGACATAATAGAGTACTATTTCGCCCATGATACCTCCCATGCGTTGTCATTCCTGAAGACTCAGATGTTATTCTTCTGTACCCTGTAAATTCACGCCATATCCCACCCTTCAAACTGAAACAGCCATGCAAACACAATTGCTTCACAGTAGAAACACGAATGAGACAGAGGTGCTCAAGAAAACGACTTTTGTACAAAGTCTCCCTCTGAATATATTAGTAGCATGAGGACTTGAACATATTTCCGACCCAATTACATATAAGACGTGATATTTTATACCTTAATAATACGAACAATGGGCATCGATAATTTATTAAAAGTGTCATATGGGCGGTGTTTAATATTTATGAGTAATTTTAGGTTACGCTATGTTTATGTCCATGAATATCCGGGCCGATCGATGGTAACAATATATTTTATGAGATTTCTTACGAGCCGGCGGAATTTCGGCCGTCTATAGACTCAATTATTTACCAAGCGTAGTTTGTTTTTTTAGAGCAAGTGGTTATTTTTGGGTCACAATAATGGGTACGTAAAAAACATATCATCGTTCTATACCTTTTATGTAGACACTTAGATATAAATAGACTAAGTGTCTAAAACGTGTCAACATTCAGACAGACACATTCACTTTGTGTTCTGTAGAGTAAAAACCGACATTAATATTGACAAAATGGTTGTTTTAATTTAAAAACTGAAATATTTATTCAAATAGTCTTTTTGCCACTAGCCGATGTCGTACAAATTCTGGAAAACGGTCACTTTTGTATGTGAATTCATATAATGCTTTATTTAATGATGTTGATATTATTAATGAACGCCCAAGTACTTTTAAAAAGCTAATCTATAAAAGATTCACATAATTTTTTACTGTTTTTCTTTGCTTAAGCTATTTGTAATATATTTGAATCGAAATTGTGGTAAACGGTGTTGGTGGCAAATTTACTCAATGTTTTTTTTTATTAATATTATGTATTGTTCTTTATTTTGTCACTGTTAGTTTACACAAATAAATGAAAAAAAAAATACTGAATACGAAAAAAATACATATTACAGCAGCTTACTCGTGTGTGTATTTGTGTGTGCGTGCGTGTGTATGTATGTGCGTATAAATTTACAAAGATATTATACCTATATATATATATATATGTATATATATATATATATATATGTATATATATATATATATATATATATATATATATATATATATATATATATATATATATATATATATATATATATATATATATATATATATATATATATATATATATATATATATATATATATATATATATATATCTATATCCAGTTTCATTTACTAAGCCATCAAAACCACGTATAGACACTACGAGATCAGAAAGATTTTTAGTTGTTGTCTCAGTATAGGCTATCGCAGTGCAGACCGACCTCTACAAGGTCGATGCCCTCAATTATACTGTGGCTGGCAGTATGCTGATATAGAGTTAATTATGTAATTACAATTTTCCGCATTTATTTATTGCACGATGTTTGGGCAATAAACACTTTTGTAGGGATTTTTTGCGTGTGATTTTTTTTATTATGTAAGTAAGTGTCTCTACATTTTTCCACACGGGGAATTTTTCATGAAAATTTTTAATAAGTACACATTTTTTCCCGGGTTTTTTTCTTCACACTATTTTCCGTATATTCTTGTGTCGAAATATACTTTTTGCTATCATTTTTTGAAGTAGGTTTAAAAAACAACTGAAATTTAACACTTAGAGGATTTGAAGAATGCGCACTACTTCTAATACTTCAAGATAATACGTCAATGCGATGGATACAAATCGGACGATGTTCATGCCTACAGATGGGCAAAGCACCGGGTTTAAACCCGGTGCTTTGGTAAAAACCCAATAAACACCCATAAACTCCCATAATCACCCAAAAAAATAGGTTTTTACGTATTTTTTTGAAAATATGTAAGTAATACCAATAAATTATTTTTATAAATTGTATTGATCAATTCTACAATATTAAATAAAACGTTAACTAATAATATTTCAGGAAATTTTAAAAATCTATATATAATAAAATGAAAGTAATTAATTTTCAGTGTTTTCATGTTGCAGTTGATCAACATGTTGGCCTTTTGCTTCCCGTAGATACTTTAAAATTTCTTCATAACACCTCGTTCGCACACATGGCCGTATATATTTAAATTCTTGAGCCACTAACAGTCCGAAATACTCATTTCTTTTATCCTCTTCTCCATAAATTAAGCATTTAGAACAGTTTGTTTCTTCTTTCAGTAAATTTTCTTTTACTTTATCCTCGTTTTTTTCTTTGTTGCGACGACGCTGGGTAAATCATCTGGACACTGGGTCTCACTATCGCCAAATATATTTGGAGATCGGCTTCGGCTACGGCTTGGCAGACATTTTTTTCTTTCTACAATTTTAAATTAAATTTATTAGAATAAATGCTTCGAACACACGCGATCTAAGTACCTTTTGTGTTTATTATACCTTACCTACCTAGGTATAAAAAGAGTACTTACGTAGATTTTCTTTTATTAACTGTTTTATACGAAGATCTTGATCTCTCAAATTAGCATCCATTTTACTTCCAGTGATTATCAACTAAATTAATAATCCACAAAGTATTAAATAACGTTTTTATGAAATATTTAGCACAAAAACAATACCCTTTAAATATCGATCGTCAGTAACTGTGGCTGACTTACCTATATTCTAGCAAGCAGGACTGCCAGATGTGAAGGGGAAATCCCCAATAAATTGTTGCATGTGACTGATGATGTGAGCATGTTCGTTTCATAATAAAAATGTTGCCAGGTAACCAAAAAGTCGTATGTTTTTGTGCGAATTACGATCATAATCTTTACGATCGTACATTAAAAAATAGACAAATAATAGTATGAGTACGATTTAAATCGTATATCTGTCAACCCTGCTAGCAAGACAGCGACAAAATCACGTTGCATAACAATGTAGCCCAAGCTTATATCTTATGAAATATACGGAAGAGATACGGACTTAGAAAAAACAGAAATGTTGTTCTTTGTGGAAGTCATTGATGAAATTCTATGTATTTTAGCCCGCAAACTTTCTTCAAACAAAAACAGCGCCATCTAGTATCGAGTTCTGTAATTATCTCTTTGTTTATGGATTTGAAGTAAGACCGCCACGCATGCAATACATTATGACTGGGGATTCCCCTATTCGTCGACGCTGAATATGAGGCGACGACAATCACTGTCAAACGTGTTCACTATTACTCTGACTCTGGTAACGTGACTTCCTGGTAACGTGTTAGGTAGGAAAAGCAGTAAAAAAGTGCATATTAAGGGAGCAGATTTGAAATAATATTTATACTTAACAAGAAATAATTAAAGGTAAGTGGATTTTTGAATGATACAATTATATCATGATCACTTAACAATTTTAACTTAAAATTAGATGTATTATTACAAGCTTTTATTTAGCTTGCGTTATGTAAATAAAAGTATGTAGGTATGTTCGTATGTTGATGCAATTATCCTCAATCCTCAACCGACTGGGATAAAATTTTCCATACAGGTTTATTTTGGATGATAGTGCATAGTTAGCTGAGAGTCGTCATTGGATAATAATGGTGGATAGCCTAAGATGTGTACTAGATATTTATTTTTAACATAATATGCGTAAGTACCTAATCGAATTAAAGAAGTTGCTGAGAAAAATACAGAACAATACGATAATAAACTAGCGTCTGCGTTTAATCCTCCGAGGAGATGTAATTTTACAAAGGTTTTTTGTATTTATTTTATTATTTTTTTAATAAATTTATTGTAAATAACAAGAAATAATCATTGTAAAAAAATAGGCACTCTATTGTTGAATTTTCGTCAGACCAACTAATCATCGTTCATTTTTTTAGGTTCAATGGGGAGACCTAAAGATTTACGCATATGGGAGCACTACCGTACTTTACCAAACAAGTCTGTTTCTTGCAAGCTTTGTAATAAGGTCTACAAATTCAGTAATGCTGCCAAAATGCTTCAACATCTTATCACTTGTCCAAAATCTCCAGAAACATTAAAAGACTCTATGAAACTTATAAAAGATAGCTCGTCCAAAACCAAAATGTCTGGACTGTCAGAGATAGAGACAAATGATTCTTTTATAAGCCCCTCGTCGTCTGCTAACACTACAATAAATGCTGAGTTTCAAGACACCGATGATCATATAAAAACAGAATTAGCGAGAGCTATATTTGTAACAGGGACGCCATTATCGATGGTGCAACATCCTTTATGGATACAATTTTTCGAAAAATTGCAACCAAAATTTAAAATACCTTCACGTAAAGCTTTAGCGACAAAATACTTAGATAAAATATATAGAGAAATGCGTTTTGAGTTAAATGAGGAACTAAATGCTTGTAGTTACTTACACCTTCAGTGCGATGGCTGGTCTAATTTAAGAAATGAAGGAATAATAAACTTTCTTATATCAAAACCTCAACCTGCATACGTTAAAAGTTTGAATACAGAAAGTAATCCTCACACTAGTGAATACCTTAGCCAAGAAGTTGAAAAAGTAATGAAAGTGTATGGAGCAAATAAGTTTCTTGTACTTATTGGCGATAACGCTAGAAATATACAAAAGGCATTCGAATTAACAAAACTCAAATATCCACATGTTGTTCCTCTCGGTTGCTGTGCACATATCCTTAACTTGTTGTGCCAAGATATTGTAAAGATACAAGAAGTAACTGTGTTTATTATGCAAGCCATAAATATAATAAAAACTGTTAAAAGGAGTCAACGATTAAGTTCCTTGTTGATAAAATCAAGGCAGGGTGAAGATTCTACACAAACACTAAAATTGCCTTGTGCTACAAGATGGGGAAGTCATGTTACTTCGTTAAAAAGTTTGAAAGCAAATAAGATAGCTTTGCAAATATTAACAGTTAGAGAAGATGTGGTAATTTCAAGAGATATTAAAGATTTAATTCTAAGTGATGATTTCTGGACGAAGACAGGGGAATGTATAAGTATTTTGGAACCAGTCACTGAAAGCATATTTTACTTAGAGAGCGACCAGAATCGTTTGCATCGCACATACATTACATTTAGAGATGTACAAGCTAAGATACGTTTTGCATTAAATGAGATTTCGACATTGAGCGAAGAAAGCAAACAGCAGATTCTAACATCAGTATCTTCAAGATGCAATATGGCAATGAGGCCAATACATTTTGCAGCATATATTCTAGACCCCAGGACTCTAGGAGTCGAACTTACTCAAGAGGAAGAACTTAAGGGTATGGAGTTTATCTACAATTTAAGCCAACACTTAAGTTTGTCAAATGTAATGGCAGATTTGGCGTGTTATAAAGCTAAAGAAAACTTTTGGGCCAGAGGATTTGTATGGAGCTCATTAGATAGCATTGAGCTCCTAATATGGTGGAAAGGTATTTGTGGTTCCACTGAGTTAAGCAAAGTAGCGATTCGTATTCTATCAGCTCCCTGTACTTCGGCAGCCACTGAGCGTTCCTTTAGTATCCAAGGCTACATACATAATAACAAAAGAAATCGACTTACAACTGAAAGAACTGAAAAAATTTCATTCATTTGTTATAACTGGAATCTTAAACATAAAGCTGAATGCGAGGACATTCAGTTTAATGAAGAAAATACCTTAGAAGCTTTCATTGAGCAAGTAAATGAACATAACAGTTTAGACGAAATAGAGCCTATCGAACCTATACAATTCATCGCTTGTAATAACTCTGAATCTGACAGTGATTGACTGTAGTTTTACATTTTACTTTCATCTCTTTCTTAATAAACTCAAAATCAAATTAAAAGTTTTTTATTCTGTAGGCTGCATAATAATATTGTCTATGTCCAGTATAGTGGACGTCTTGCGGCTGAGATGACGATGATGAAGTACAAAATCATAAACACCCAAAAATTTGGGTGTTTATGGGGTTTAAACCCAATAAACCCAAAACACCCGGTTTTTACCCACCAGACTTTAAACCCACCCAGGTGGATTGCCCATCTCTATTCATGCCAGACAAAAACTCGTCTGCCGCACTCCCTATTCGACCTTGGCATCCGATATCTCGTACTTATCTGCGGTTTGTTTTGCCAATTCGAGATGTTGTGATAATACTCGTCAGATCCGTTAGCAAAAACTGAACGTGTGTCTGTGACTGTCAATTTGCTATTATTGTTGTAAACATGCGTTATTATTAAACATGATTAAACTAAAACGTATAAAGGTTTATTTATTTATTTATATATTTAATTCGAATAAAGGCTGCGAAAAATCTGAGTATATTAGTGTCAGCTGTTACTTGTTTATTCCTATAAAAATCCCGAATTGCAGACTGATGATTTATTATTACATGGTATCCATTGCGTAATAGTTTTTTTTTTATACAACTTAAAATGGCAAACAAGCTGACGGCCCACCTGATGGAAAGTGGTAACTGTCGCCTATAGACATGAGCAGTACCATGGACATAACAGAGTATACTGTTTCGTTCATGATACCCCCATGCATTGCCATTCCTGAGGACTCAGGTGTTATTCCTCTGTACCCAGTAAATTCACGCCATATCCCACCCTTCAAACCGAAACACAGCCATGCAAACACAACTGCTTCACGGTTGAAACACGAATAGAACAGAAGTGCCCAAGCAATCAACTTTAGTACAGTCTCCCTCTGCCGTATCCACCGTGTGTTTCTTTTAGTGGCTGATAATGGAATGGTAACGCCAGGGTTACCAGTGAGGGATGATAGATGAGAATGAAAAGGGCAGGTCAGTTAGCCCATCGTGATGAATACACCTGGAATTCAGCACGATAGTTACCAGAGGGGACCACGTGGAGATCGACCTGACAGAGTATATTGCTAGCAATCGGAACGGTAGTTCGCATTACTAACAATCTTTTCCCCCTTCCATCGTGTGGTCCCGGCATAGAATAGGCCACCCTTTCCTTTCCCGTGGGTGTCGTAGGAGGCGACTATAGGAATTAAATAGTAGAAAGGATGGGCAGCAGCGTCCCTTTTAAAATACCACTAATAGCTTAACTGCACTTGTCAAATCACCTGCCAAGCGCGGCAACTAGTGGCAAAACTCCCCTTCTGGGGAAAGCTTCTGTTCACCAGTGGACAGTTAATCGCTGACATGACGATGACGAAACAAAAACAATTCGTCAGATAATTGCTTTGTATAATCTTATATATAAAATTCTCGTGTCACGGTGTTTGTTACCAAACTCCTCCGAAACGGCTTTACCGATATTTATGAAATTTTATGTGCATATTGGTGGTTATGGTCTGAGAATCGGCCAACATCTATTTTTCATATCCGTCAATGATAAGGGTAACCCATCCCAAAATATTTTTTTTTATTTTTATGACAATTTTTTTTATTTTATTATAATTTAGCATTGAAAAATACATACAACTTTAAATTTTCATCGTTTTACGATCAACCCCTGTATTTTAATTGCGATTTTTATATTTCGCAATAAGTGGTAAAACAACGTTTACGGGGTCAGCTAGTAACATTATATAATATTTTTATTGCACTTGATAACAAAAAACTAAATATAAATTATAATACATAATATATAAAACAATACAAAGTATTAAAATATTCAGATAACTAGCTGCTATTGTTTATTAAATACTAGCGACCGCCCTGGCTTTGCACGGGTAAGTAGAGTATATAAGCTTATATTTTCAAACGACTCCAAAAAGAAGAAGATTTGAGAAGATTTTTTTTATGTTTATTAGCTCATAACTCTGTCAGTTGTAAACCTATTTGGGAATTTTTTTTACCTGAAGAGATATGTTTATAGATTAGTTTCAATAGAAATTTTATAAAAATCGGTTGTGTAGTTTAGTTTTTAAATTAAAATAACTGGTTTTTAATTATTATCTTAAATTATTTAATATGTAGGATTACCTAGTCAAAATATTTATAATAGTAATTTGACACACATTTGTATGAGGGTGTCGCCCTCTAGTGCTAACACTTTCTAGGCCGCCTTTTTTTTAATAGATAAAAATGGAATGGTAACCCCGCCTGCGTTATAGGTATATGCTGGTGGGGCTCCAGTGAGTGATGATAGGTGAAGATGAAGCAGGTTAGTTGGCCCATCGTGACGAATTCATCAAAAATTTACTACGATGGTTTCAAGAGGAAACAATATGGAGGTCGATCTGTTAGTTATATATTGCTAGTAATAGATCTGTTAGATTTCATTACTAATAATCCCTTTTTGATGTGACACGAAGTCGATACGCTTTTAAAATATCGAATACGAATTTGAAAAATCAAAGGTTAAGCTGGGATTAATAATACCTTTGTTTGGCTTCAAATTTATAATACACCTTCTTTCGCATCGAAGATTAATGTAAGACATTCATCTCTCTCTGAAGGAATGAATAAAGAATCCTTTATTATTATATATATATAAAAAAAAACTTGTACATTATATCTATTTCATAGAAGCTATTGAATAAACTTGGATACTTTTGTGTTAGATTTCCCGGGGGTCAACTAAATTACTGCGTAGTAGAATCCCATTGGAAGAACTGTATAGAGGCGATAAATGTGCGAGCGACATCATCTGTATAGACTTAGATGGATAGGGTATATCAAAACGAATAACAGTAGTATCTCGATTATCCGAATCAATTAAAACCAGGGGTATTTAGTATAATCGAAAAACCGGATAATCGATTACAACGTCAAATAAAAAAATAATCAAATTTTAATATTTTTTCATATGTAAAGAGTTTCACATATATCATTTAGACAAAACGATATAAAAAAAAAATTACGAGCTATAGAGATAATGTATTTACCTAATGTCTATGTAATTTTAAATTTTGGTTGGAAACAATTAGTTATTAATCTTTAACGTAATGAATCATATCTTTTTATTGTGGCCAAGTCCCTGATGCGTTTCAGTTGTAACAACTGTATGGGATTTGATTGGTCCTGTCTTGTCTGGATAATCGAATATTCGGATAATCGATGTTCGTATAATCGAGTTTCTAAATTAATTCTAAAATGTAATTCTCCTGCCTCGGCGGGAGCACTGCCGTGATCCTGGAACTAACTTTTTTATCTTCATACTAATTTTACCCGCGACTTCGTCTGACTTCGTATGACTGCGGTAAGTTGACTGACTAGGATAAAATCCCATATAGTATATACGAAACTTTATAATAATTGGTTAAGCCATCAAGGCGCTATAAGGTAACAAACAAACAAATTCACTTTCACCTTCATTATATTAGTAAGGATTATAGGTGTGACGGTTCCCCTATAGTACAATAGGTTTAATACCATAAGTACATAAAAGAAACAGGGGTTCCTATGGGTGACCGCTGCGAAAGCTGAGCTATTTAATATAAACAAACTTTAAAGTCAAGGTTCACAATAGTATACAGAGAAGACGTTACCATATATGAAATATTGACACAGAAGGGAAACTCCTTTGATGTGTTTCCAAAGTGTAGTGGATGTCACAAGAAAATTAAATAAATTAAACAAAAATATATTATATTTTATATATAACCAAATTATAGTTTACCTTTTTATCATCAGGTGTAAAAAAGATACATACAACACAGTTTAATAAGGTTTATGAGAGCCTTTAAAGTTTTATAAATTCGATAATCAATGAAATATAAAATACCAAAATACGTTAACATATAATTAAATTGAATTTAAAGAAAAGTTCAGTTCGAATAATAGGCTAAATCTGATTATTGAAATATCTACCCTTCGGTGACATAATCTATGACGTTATTAGAGAAAAAATAGAAAAAAAAAAAAAAAAAAAAAGAGAGGGGAGCCGGCAGATCGGCGGGCGCGCGGGAGTCGCTTTTTAGGAATTGCGCAATAAAAAAGAGAAAAAAAAAAAGGACGGCAAATGGCGGGGAGTCGTGTTTTAGGGATTGCGCAATAAAATAAAAAAATAACTGGGATATAGATCTAGGAGGGACTGGATCGATGAAGGGGTTTGAGACCTTAGTGTATCACTATCGATTAAGTGTGTGAAATTAATCAATAGAAGACTGGAGAATCCGGTGAGCTTGTTCCATTTATTACTACGTAGTTAGATTTTTGACTGTGATCGCAGGCAAAGTCTATACTTAATATTTTTCCCAACAACTATTAAAATACGTATTTAGTCGAGTCCATATACCTTTAGGTAATGCGTATATCGTTAAATGCAATCACATTTGAACAAATTTTACATCAATATAATTTACGTACTTACGTTATTTTACTCATATACAAAATCCAATTATATGGTCGTTTGATAGAACTTCATCAATTTGATTCAATGTTCTAATTGTCCAGTTTTGGAAAATACTTATTGAATCAACTATTGAACTATTACAATACTAACTAGTTTCATATCTAGTTATTATAAAGTATTTATTTATTGAGGATAATAGACTAAAGTGACTATGGTCTGGTCTCATTGCTGGGGAAACAGCCATTGATGAGAGAGAGGGGTTATTGAGTGGCGACCCTGTAAATGCAAGTGCGGTGTGGGCTACCTCCATTGTTTGGAGTGACTGTTTTATGTGTATTGTGGGGCCGTTCCTTGTGTCAGTCGGTGGAAATTGCTTGTGTTCAGTCGTGGGTTGGTGATGGTTGAGACGATGATGATGATGAAATATTTGTATTTATTACACTATTACAGTGTTGGTTTGGAATATCTGTTCATACTTAACGCTTCATGGTGAAGTGTTTTTATACCATTACTCGGTCGACCAGATTAATGATTCTTAGTCTATATTTGATTATCCATGACTACATGTGGGGATTTGTTTTACACCAGATGTACAAAGAGACAGCTTAACTGTTGCAAGTGATATTATGTGAATGTAATACTTTTAATACATTATTAATTGTGTTACTAAATAAATTCATGTGACTGTGGGGTGTTTATGGTAAACAAGCCTGTATTGTTTAAATAGATATTTTGTCTTGATTTATTATAAACTTTAATATTGATTTTGTTGTAGTAAGCAAGCTGATAATAACAATTCTGTGTGTATTACTGATTACTAATAATATTTAATTATGCTGATATTATAGGTGTGGATTTATTTCCTAATGG